CCTTCGCGGCCCCGCCCGCCGCCGCCGAGGGTGTGGGCGCGGGGAGGGCCTCACGAAGACGCCCCGCCTCTGCCTGGGCTTCCTCCGGCCGCGGGGTCTGGAGAAGCTCCGGCTGTTGTCACTTCCTTCGGAGCGGCTCTCTGTATCCGGGTCGGCCGCCGTAGCTGCCGCTGTGGCTCTCGGGCTGGGCCCGGGTCTCGCTGCCGTCCGAGAGGAGCGGGCTGCGCTCGGCGCTTCCTTCTGCGACCTGGCCGTCAGCCCCACGTCGCCGGCCTGGCGGGGCGAAGGAGACGAGGAGGCCAAGGCTTCCTCCGGGGTGAGTGCCCCTCGGGAAGGCTGGGGCCGGCGGGTCTGAGCTGAGAGCAGGCCTCGGGGGCAGACAGCCGAAGGGCGCCACCCGGGACGGTCCGAGAAAGGAAGCCCCAGCTTTATCCGTTATGGGAGGCGCCCTAGAAACTGCCCGGAGGCGCTTCCCGGATCCCCGCCCCGCTTCGGCCCCCGCCCTTGGCCAGGCTTCTCTTTGCTTTTTGCCACCCTTGCTAACCCCCCTTCTCCCAGCCCTTTTCCATTTGTGGTGGTTGTGCTCGGCTGAGAAGCTGCCCTCTTCTCTGCCGCCTGCACACTTCCCGGTCTGGGTGCAGTCACTGGGCCTGGTAGTCCCTTATTTCTCACCAGCGTCGGTCCTGGTACAGAACAAAGAAACTTGGGTGTCTAACGTGCTCCACACCCTTGGGGAATAGACAAGGAAGCGGCGTTTGTCATGGGCCTTGATACGTGAAAAGCTGAGTTCCTGCATGGACACTATCTTTTACTTAAATAGCTGGCACAAGTGCCGTGGGTTTCCCTGGTGCACCCGATGCCACGGATGATCTGCTAGACCAGCGCATATTAAATCAGAAATTTATTTGCATCTATTACGTCGATTTGAAACTTCCCCTTGGTCTGCTGCGCTCTGGCAAGCTCTTTGAGAGCACGGCTTTAGTCATCCAGGTAGTCTTCGCGCCTTCCAGATAATTTAATGAAATGTGTGATTGATTTTTGATGTTGCTTTTTTCCCCTCCTTCTTCACCTTTTTAAAAAAAGAATTAGGCTACTTTTCCTAATGCTTAACTACTTAATTTTTAAAATTAAACGTATTTATCTAAAATTGTATAGGAATTTCTACAATTTGTAAATGGATGTTTCCTCAGAATTTTAACTGAAGTTACTGTCTCTAGTTATCCTATAGACCATTTTCTTGATGATCTTGCATATCTTCTTCTTAGTTCTTATCATTTTACATTTTCTCCACACACTATTTTTAATTTTCATAATCTCTGTTGCAGCCTAATATTGTTGGTTTTAGACAGGAAGTATGACAGGTCTTCTGCAAACATTGGACTTGAATTCAATCATCATAAGTTAGTGTTAGTGTAGTCTTTAGGCATTACAGAACCTTTGAAGCTAAGTTTAGCCAAATCTAGCTTGACAGCCTTATTCTGTAGAAAGTTGCCAGTGAACTGGAGACAGTATGCTGTATTAGAAACAGTCTAGGTCTAACCTGGAAACCAGGATGTGGTTATTTGCCTCAAATATAAGCTAAAATGGGGATAATAACCCAGTGTTTTATATGTGATACAGGATTTTTGGTTGGAATGTATGAGATGGATATACAAACAGTAAACAGGAAAAGCACTCTTTGGAAAGTGGTTCTGTTCATTCTTCTGGTGTAATGCTCACAGAAGGAGCAGCAATGGAAAAAGACGCCTAAGAAAGGAAGTATATTACATGTATAGCTGGATCAGATAATTTAACCTTGGCTGACTGTGGATTCAAAGATGTCGTCTTAGGCTTAAACTCTGTAAAGCAGAGTGCTAGTATAATGTGATGATAATAATATTCCAAAGTTATGCTTTTATATTACATCTAATATTTGTGACTCTAGAAAGTATTAGATCTCAGTTATTAGACTTTAATATTCTTAAAGGTCTCAGCGCTCTCCGGTATGTTCTGCATACTGATAATATAATAAATGTACCTTTTATGGTTGGCATAATTGTCCTGTGTTTTATCTTCACAATTGTGAGAAACAGCACTATTGTAATTTTTCTTGAATTTTGTATTAACATTTCTGATAGGGTATCACATTTAATTGAGGTATGTAATTGACAGATAACTTTTTTTAGTTTTAGGTATACAACATCATGATTTTGATATTTGTATGCATTGCCAAATACAGATGATAAGTCTAATTAACATTCATCACCATATTTAGTTATAAAAATTTTTTTCTTATCATGAGAACTTTGAAGATTTACTGTCTTAGCAACTTTCATATATCAAATACAGTGATACTAACTATAGTCACCATGATGTACCTTTCCAGAACTAATTTATTTCATAGCTAAAAGTTTATACCTTTTGACCCCTTTCATCCATTTCACCCACTCTCCACCCTCCGCCTCTGGCAACTGCCAATATGTTCTCTGTGTCTGTAAGCTTTGATCTTTCTGTTTTGTCTTTTTAAGATTCCACACAGGTAAGTGAGATCATAATGTGTTTGTGTTTCTCTTTCTGACTTTCTTCACTTATGTTACATAATGCCCTCAAGGTCCACCCATGTTGTGGCAGATTTTTTTTAAATGATTGAATAATATTCCTTTGTGTGTGTGTGTGTGTGTGTGTGTGTGTGTTTATCCATTCATTCATCAGTGAATACTTAGGTTACTTGCATACCTTGGCTATTGTAAATAATGCTGCTATGAACATAGGGGTACACACATGTTTTCTAATTAGTGTTTTAATTGCCTTCCGATAAATACTCAAAAGTGAAATTGCTGGATTGTACCGGAATTCTGGTTTTAATTTTTTGAGGAACTTCCTTCCTGTTTTCCATAATGGCTGCACCAGTTTACATTCCCACTAAGGATTTCCTTTTCTCCACACCCTCACTACTACTTGCTATTTCTGGTCTTTTTGATAATAGCCATTCTAAGGCGTTAGTATCTTTGTGTCGTTTCATTCTTAAAAACCTACATGACTCTGCTCTCAAGGAAACAGTGAGAAGCAGACATGTAGGATCTTTACAGAGGTGTATTGGTGATCTTCCTGAACATACAGGCTGGCCAAAAGTATTTTCCTATATGCTACCAGTGTTGCCAGCTTCATAGGAAAATGTGAACATGAATATTTGAAACAAAGTCCTTTTGTTTAAATGGGATGTGAAAGACTTGGCTAACCATTTCCTTTTGCCGAACAAAATTGATTTGAGTGTACATGTTGAGTACTAGCACTTATTCCACCATCTGTATTAAACTACATAATAGTGAAGTTGTCATGTAAAATTTTAAGTTATAATTTGGGTGTTTCTAAATATGATCGTAATATTTAATTTTTACTTATATTGTTAGGCTGCATGAGGAAATCCCCATTTTCATCTTGGTTGAATTGACCACCACAGCTCACTGAGGTCAGCTACCGTTTTGAATTTATCTGTATCACCACCACTGATAACTGGCATAAGTCGTGATGTACCACCGCTACCGCAAGTTTGTTGAGAAATCAAGTTATTCCTGCTACATTTGGTTGTTTTGACAATTAGCATCTTACACTATTACTTCCCCATTCTGATTTATTTATATTGTGAGTCAGCAATATCCTGATTTCCTTCAGAGTTGTGCTTATGTTGCTCCTTTCTTGCTTCCTGTTCTTACAACTGCTGATAATGTGATTCTAAGAGCAATCCTTTTTCAAGGACTTTTTAACTTTACCTAGTTTAAACTTTGCCTAGTGTATCAATATTTTTCCCTCTAAAATTTGTGATGAAATGGTTTAGAGTGAACCTATTTTTCTCTCCCTCTAGATCCTGTTTAACAAGCTTAAATAATTATTCCCAAACTAAATATCCATGTCCACTTGCTGGGGTATATTAACATCATGTGACTCAATGATACTAAAGTAAAAATTGAATGAATCAGCTTAGTGAGCTGACAGACTCTGGTTCTCTGTGTATAAAGTAGTATTTTCACATGATAGACTTATTGAAGTGGTAAAATAGCAAAAAGACATGGTTCATCTTTTAGAATTGCACAAGGTGTGTATTTTCTCTTACAAACATGGAATATTTTTACCAACAGAAGTGGACAGTTATGTTAGTTGCCCCAAATATTTTCACTACTCTTTATTGAGGTGTAAAACTTAACAGGAAGCCTATTTATGTAGTTTAATTAGAAAAATAAGCTTGAAGTTGAGCAAAACAAATGCTTATTATTCAGTGTTACACCATACAGTTAAATGTTTATTTTAAATTTAACTGATATTTACAAGCTTATTATGTGCCAGACACTGTGCTAGATGTTGCAAACATTGTGGTAGCAGCTTCCAGTCACTGCTTATATTTTTGAAATATTAAATATTTTTGAGTATGTGAAGTATTTGAAAAAATACTGAGAACGTCCTGTTATTTTTCCAACACCCAGTACAAATGCGAGACTAAATAATGAAACTTCTCTGGTTATTAAATCTAGGATAAAACATTAGTCCATAAAAAAAAATTAGCCCACTTTATAGTGAATATCAAAGGCTTAAATAAGTCAAGGTTATTCTATTTTAAGTGTGTTTTCCATTCATCTCTCAAAATTGCTTAGGTTTTTCCCAGAGAATTAAAAATGCCTTACTCCTACATATAAATTAACTGACTTTTCCCAGCAAATATGTTGGTGAAGAAAAGACAGCATTTGCTTTTTTTCTGTTCGCAAGTAGCTCCTCAAAAATGTAAACCTTTTGAAGATTTTTTTAAACTCTTAAGCCTAAGTAAGAATTCAAACTGGGAAAAAAGCCTCCCAGTCTTGCCAGAGATAAGAATTTAGTTTATTGTGTGAAATCTAACACTTGAGAAAACTTCTGTGTAATTTTGTTATTGTTGTTCTGGAACATAATGGTTTTTTGGTACAGCTTTGTGTATGTTTGGAATGTTATAATGACACAGCAGATAGGCAACCATTAAACATGACCAGTGGCTACACATACATGGTTTTAAAAGTTAAATAATTTAGAAGGATTCACTGTGAAAAGCCTCATTCTCCCCATCCCACCTTCCTTCTTCTTCCACTGGTGTCAATCACTTTTACCTCTGTTTTAAAACTTCTAGTGATAACTAGTAATACTTTCTATCTCTTGAGATGTATGTGTTCAGTTCAGTCACTCACTTGTGTCTGACTCTTTGCAACCCCATGGACTATAGCATACCAGGCTTCCCTGTCCATCACCAACTCCAGAGCTTGCTTAAATTCATGTCCATCAAGTCGGTGATGCCATCCAACCATCTTATCCTTTGTTATCCCCTTCTCCTTCTGCCTTCAATCTTTCCCAGCATCAGGATCTTTTCCAGTGAGTCAGTTATTACATCAGGTGGCCAAAGTATTGAAGTTTCAGCTTCAGCATCAGTCCTTCCAATGAATAAGCAGGACTGATTTCCTTTACAGTTGACTGGTTTGATCTCCTTGCTGTCCAAGGGACTTCTCAAGTCTTCTGCAACACCACAGTTCAAAAGCGTCAATTCTTCAGCATTCAGCTTTCTTTATGGTCCATCTTTCACATCCATACATGACTACTGGAAAAACCATAGCTTTGACTGGATGGACCTTTGTTGGCAAAGTAATGTCTCTGCTTTTTAATATGCTATCCAAGTTGGTCATAGCTTTTCTTGTAGGGAGCAAGAGTCTTTTAATTTCATGGCTGCAGTCACCATCTTCAGTGATTTTGGAGCCCAAGAAAATAAAGTCTGTCACTGTTTCCATTGTTTCTCCATCTGTTTGCCATGAAGTGATGGGACTGGATGCCATGATCTTAGTTTCTTGAATGTTGAGTTTTAAGCCATCTTTTTCACTCTCCTCTTTCACTTTCATCAAAAGGCTCTTGGTTCTTCTTCACTTTCTGCCATAAGGGTGGTGTCATCTGCATATCTGAGTTATTGATATTTCTCCCTGCAGTCTTGATTCTGGCTTGTGCTGCATCCAGCCCGGCATTTCACATGATGTAGTCTGCATATACATTAAATAAGCAAGGTGACAGTATACAGTCTTGACTTACTCCTTTCCCAATTTGGAACCAGTCTATTGTTCCAGGTCCAGTTCTAACTGTTGCTTCCTGACCTGTATACAGATTTCTCAGGAGTTACTTCATTTTTTAAAGTTAAGTTTAGTCACCTATTGACTTACTCTAATGTAAGAGAACCCAGATATTCGTTTATACCTCTTGCCCCTCAGCTTACCATAGTTTTTGTTATACTGATAACCAGTTGATCTTAATGATTTCTTAAATATATTTAAAGCTCTCTTTCATATTCCATCAACCTTGCCAAACTCTAGATCTGTCATTTTTAAACTGAGGTAAAACATGTAGTTGTATGAATAGAAATATTCACTAAGATCATTGTCTGAAAACTCATGCTAAACTACATGAGAAAATCTTGGTATAGATATGAAACAAATAAAAATATGGCATAATTCATTTACTGAACAGGTACTGAATAGCCCTCTTTAAGTGGCTCAGAAATTGTGGCATTGGAACTATGGTGAAGTAGATATAAGAGACAGCACACCACTTGGGCTGTGCTGAATTAAGAGTATAAATGCTAGTTACTAGTGTTCAATTTCCAGAATTAACCTCTCTACAAAGAACAGAAAATTTGATTATGGGTCTAGAATAGAGAGTATATTTATTTACTTCTATTATTTGTGCCCCTCAGCCCCAAAATTGCTTTTCCATAATTCACAGTACCTAATAAATTGTAAATTATGTCCTGGACACACACATGTATGTATACATATATAATAAATACTTCACTGCACAGCACCCTTATTACAAATGGTGATTATTAGAATATATATACTCTGACTCTTTTCTGATTCTTGGGGCCGGGGCAGGGGAATGGAAAGTAGTAGTTGCAACCCACTAAATTTATTTCTTGACCAGGGTGGAAGTGTGAACTCAAATATAAGATTATTGCATCTTTTCGACAGATAATATGGAAAATAAGCCTATGAAATTTTTTCTTTCTCTCTTTTTTTTTTAACAGGATTTTGGCACTCTCGATTATCGGGAGTTTGTAGTTGACATTGAGTCCAGACTGAGGATGGAAGGTGTAGAACTTAAGGAAGAATGGCAAGATGAAGATTTTCCAATGTGAGCAATGTTTTTAAATGAAAACAAATTCAAAACGGAACTTCACTACTTCTTTTCTGAGGTGTCACTTAATAAATGAATATTGATTGTACTTCTTCAAGAAACCCAATGTTGCAAAATGTTCATTTAGTACTAGTAATAGAGTCGTCAGGGTTTCTAGAGGAAGATGGTCTTTAGAAGCCTGTAGGAATTACTGTATGCTTTTATTTTAAGACAAAACTTATAAAGTTAGACAAGGAAAGCTTTCTATAGTATCTGGTGAGCTACCTTGACACATTTGTGTTTGTGTTTACAATTCTGTCGGCACCGATAAAAAGAGCAAAGGCAGACCATATATTTAAGGGATACTTCCATGCCATTTTGGTCAGAAGACCATCTCAGTGCATAAGAAGATTACTTAGCAGTTGGAATAGGAACAGCTGGTGAGAGTACTGAGTCATCGCATAGCACAGAATGATGATCATAATATAGAAATGCTGAGCTCAGAAACATATACTCATCATTTTCATATTTCCATTATGACAGTTTAGCTTCATCATACATTGTATTGTACATCCCATTAAATTCATGCATTTGAAGTATATTCATTTTGTAAAGTAATGATTTTTTAAAATTTGTTTTGTAGTTGTATTTAAGAGCTGTTACATAGGGAATATATACCTACTTTTATGTGTTACTTATATAGATATGTAAATCAATTGAGACAGTTTGAAAATTTTCTTTAACAGTAGTTTGTAAATTACTCCTTAAGAAACATTGCTTTATTTAGTTTCTCATATAATTGTTTCTATAAGCTATTTTAATAGATCTTTGAATGTCAAAAGATTTATTTTTTAATTTCTGGGTTAAAAATTATGTCTGTGTGTTTTAGACCTTTACCAGAAGATGATAGTATTGAAGCAGATATATTAGCTGTAACTGGACCAGAGAGTCAGCCTGGTAAGAACTTGACACTTAGAAATAGACTTTTATCTGTGGTATTTCTTTTTAACACACTTTGTCAAGATATAAAATATACTCAGTTTTTGTTCCATCATAGGGTGCCAAAGGATAAGTTGACTGTTGAGGAAAGCATTTTTGGAATGCTTTGGAATACTTTGCAAAAACATACCCTTGGGTTTTAGAAATTTTGATCATGAAGGAGAGAGGCAAGATGATTTTTAGTAGTAAATAGTGACTGTAAGTTCTGCTTCTGTTATTTAAAGAGGCATATCCTTGCTGGGATGTGTCAGCTTGCTGTGATATACAAGCAGTAGCGATCAAAGTCTAAAGTTTGTAAGTTAGGGCTTTGGAATTGTTTAATGAATGTTATTTTCTCAAGAATAAAGTGATTAAAGTTCCCTTATTCGATTTATGCATCTAAGCATTTTTTCTAAATATATCTTTGATTTTTCTTTTTAACCCATTCCAGGCTCACTAGAAGTTAATGGCAATAAAGTGAGAAAGAAACTAATGGCTCCTGACATTAGCCTAACTCTGGATCCTAGTGATGGCTCTGTGCTGTCAGACGATTTGGATGAAAGTGGGGAGATTGACCTAGATGACTTAGATACGCCATCAGAGGACAGTAATGAATTTGAGTGGGAAGGTAGGTGTTTCATTGATTTTACCTGACCTTTATTAATGAATGTTTGTGCTCATGTATAGGCACAGTGGCATTTTCACTTCATCATGAAACCTACTAAAATCAGTGACTAAGGGATTTTACTGAAATAAGATGTTATCAGTTCTAAAGTTCATGTATAGGTTGTAAAGATATAAAAATTGTCTAATGTTGAATATTATGGCTTTCCAAACTGTTTCCAGTAGATTACATGTGGCTTTATTTTTTTTAATTGCCCAGTGCTGTAAAGTTGTTTTTCCGTTTTGCTTCCAAATACTGCTTGATAATTACAGCGTGTTCTTTTATTCAGTCGATCAACTAAGAGGGAAAGCTCTGAAAAACATATTTTAGGGAATTCTTAAAATTAGTTAAGAATTTGCAGAGAGAGTTCTATAGGGATGGTTTTGAGGTGTTTTTTTGAGGTTTTTTTTTTTTTTAGTGGGTTCATCTGATAGTGCTGCACTTTGTAAATGACCAACTTGAACTAATGTAGTCTCCTTGACTCCACTCTTATATTTGTTATCATTAGCTACTTGGAATTGAAAGGGATTGCCATGTGTTTTGCTTTGCATGCTTCCTTTAGTTAGATAATTGCTGTCTTGTATCTTTGTAGTTGGGAATAATTTTTATATGCATATTTCATCTTTTAAGTGACTTTTGCTTCCAGGCAGTGTTTAGCACTAGGTATGTTATCTGCAGTAAAGAGTTAAGATTCTTAATGTACTTTATCTTTTGTTCTTTTTTCTTCCCCATTTTACTGGTTCAATAAGCAATCCAGTAGTAAACAATATTTTGTAAAGATACTGAAATAGTTTTCTGCCTATGTGTTTTGTCTCTTCTTTCTTTAATGCTGCTGTAGTCATTTCCTGGAAGGATATTTTCCGTTAACAGCTTTGTCTTGGAAACAAACAACTAACATACAGTAGGTTTCCCCTTCCCCCATCTTTTGGTAAGGATTGTGATACTAAAATTTTGAAAATCATTACATCATGAAAAATCAGCTAAAATGCAACCTTAAAATATAAATTATACCTAATCACTGGTGCTTGTGCTTTGGCTAATATCAATTTAAAATAGACTTTTGCATGTAACTTTGGAATATTATCAAATAATTTTCTGCTTTATGAAACTGATCAAATGAGAAGTAACTGTTGACTTGTTAACCACTTTCTATCTGCTATTATAATGTTTGGGGAATGATTTGTGTGTTCAACAACAACAATAAACACTGGCCCCCAGAGAGTTGCTTTAGTTAATATAGTGGTAACTATCTGTCAAGGACAGTGTTGTCAACAGAATCTGCAAATTGTAGATGTACGTTGTACTGCGATTAGGTCCTCTGTCAATTAAGCAATACAAAAAAAGTTAAAGAACTATGATTTCCAAAAATAAAATGGCCTTATATCAAGAGTAAGCCTTTTCCTGTATTATGGAAGAAATATTTAAAATTCCACAAACAGGGAACTCTACTCAATATTATGTAACAACCTAAATGGGAAGAGAATTTGAAAAAAGATACATGTATATGTATAACTGAATCACTTTGCTGTACATATGAAACTTTCACAACATTGTTACTCAATTATATCCCAATATAAAATAAAAAGTTAAAAAAAAATTCCATGGAAGGTATAATAAAAAATATTCTCTGAACAGTCTAATTAGATAGTAAAGTGGTTAACATGTAATTTGATTTTTATTGTGTAAGTAACAATCTGTGATTCAAAAATCTTTTATTTTGACAGATGATCTTCCAAAACCCAAGACTACTGAAATTATTAGGAAAGGCTCAATTACTGAATATACAGCAGCGGAGGAGAAAGACGATGGACGACGCTGGCGTATGTTCAGAATCGGAGAACAGGACCACAGGGTTGATATGAAAGCAATTGAACCCTATAAGAAAGTTATCAGCCATGGAGGTAAGAGTTACCAAAGATCTTTCAGATTTTTTAATACACTATCAGATAATCTGAATGCTTAGAGAATCTTTCCTTTGAGATATTAACATAATTTTGAAAGTATAATAAACATTGTGTCCTTTTAGAAATGTAGCAGGTTTGAAGTAAAAGAAGAAAACATTTAAAAATTGTTAATGTACACATATATAAGTTCCAAAAGTATAACAGTATACAATGAAAACTATCTCCCTCCACCCTTATCCCTAAACACCCTTAAACTAGGACTCAACACTCTCCTCTTTTTATCCACTTATAATTTATATGGAGTAAAATACTCTAATCCTTTGATTTCTTTTTGCAGTATTTGCAAATTCCTTTTTTTATTTTCCATATCCATTGAGATAAAACTGACATATAACATCGTATATAAGTTTAAGGTATAAAATGTGTTGATTTGATGGCATTCTGTATTGGGAATGATTGCCACCATAGCATTTGCTACCACTTGCATCACATCACATAATCACCAGTTCTTATTTGTGGTGGGAACATTTAAGGCCTAGACTACCCTTCTAGCAGCTTCTAAGTACATAATAGATGTTGTTAGCTCTGTCAGCCGTTGTCACCGTGTGGGACGTTAGCCCCCGGAAATTTCTCATCTTCTGACTGGAAGTTTGTACTGTGACTCTTATTTCCCCTTTATCCTGTCTCTGGTAATTGCCATTCTAATCTCTGTTCCTAAGAGTTTAGATACTTTAGATACAAGTGATATAGAGTATTTATTTTTCTTGTTTCACTAGAAATGCTCTAATCTTAAGTGTATGATTCACTGAGTTTTGACAAATGCCTGTATAACCATATATACTCATATAATCTACACCCCCCTAGACAGACAGAACATTTTCATTGCCCCAGAAAATTCTCTGGTACTCCCTCTCAATGAATACCCTCTCTGCAGTAACCACTATTCTAATGCCTACCCCATGGTTAGTTTTGCCTGTTACAAAATTTCATGCAACTGGAATCACAGTTTACACTCATCTACTTTCACTCCGCATAATGATTTTGACATTTATCCTTGTTGTTGCATGTATCTGCAGTTCATTCCCTGTTACTGCTGATTTGTTTATCCATCTCTATTTTGATGGACCATGTGAGATTTTTTCCAGTCTGAGCTATTCTGATTAAAACTGCCGTGAACATTGTTGTACAAGTCTTTTGTGCTTATAAATAGAACCTGGCCCTTTAAAATATGATTCTTAATATACCTTAAAACTGTGAACAAATCACTTAGCTTTTCTACAATGTAGAGAATTCATTCCATATTTTTATGGAACACCTGCTTTGTGTATTTCTGGAATATACAAATATAAGGCTTGGTTCCTTAAGAAATTTACAAGTCAAATAGGAAAAGCTATGAAGTACAGCTATAATTTCTATCATTCTGACTGTCCTGTATGTAGAAGTTAACATAGTCACAAAGCACCAGAATGTTACTCTGTGGATCGTGTCATATAACCTGAATTCCTCCTAATGCAGGACAAGGTGCCACATAGGTCAAGCAGATTGGTTTTTTCACATCGTCTTATTTCTGTGGTCTTCATTCATTTGAAAACAAATCTCTTGAATGTTTGCAGTTGCATTATTCTGCCTAATTTAGTCTTACTCAGTGAAGAAAACAGGATAATATGGATCAGGAAGTCCACAGATAGTGTATTAATTCAGATCATTCATTGGAAGCAAGTTGTGAGACCTGCCTCATGGTTTAAACCTAATATTTTTGAGACATAGCACTTTATTTAAGACAAAATGGTAATTTGGGCCATTTTGTCCTACTGAGTTACTGCAGTGTGTTTTGTGACTAAGGGGTTAAGAAAGGTAGTGAAGATTCTAATGAAGTGTCCAATCTTTTCAGTGCATGCTTGCAAACAATAGGGATGAAAGTTCAAGCAGAAACACTCATTGTTGGTTACAGCTTAATACCTGTTATAATTAAAACATTTATATTTTAGAGATTATAATTAAAACATATCTTAGTGCTGTTTTTCTTCGCTTAGTCTTACGTCAGAGATATAATCTTTTCTTACTTTGTAAGACCCTAAAAGCTACAAAATGCTAGATATCATTGAATGTAAAACTATTTTTTAAAAAGCAGACACTATAAAAGTTGCATAAGAATGTTTTATTGCAGATGTACATTCTTGGATTATATCATTCTGTCTACTTGATAAAATAGGGCTAGCCTTCTGAGTATGCTAATTTAAGTGGATTTCTGGTTTATATGGCCACCATTTCCTCGTCAAATTTTATTGTTTTTGAGAAGAGAAGATTTAAAGATCTTTGTAAGACTATACAAGGTCAGACCAATGACAGCAAAAAATACACTTTTTGATTCAGAAATGTGTGGAACATAAATCACTATAATTTATCAATTATATATGATATCCCCTGAAAAGTCTTCAGAGTATAATAATGCTGGTTTCTTTTTCAGGGTATTATGGAGATGGATTAAATGCCATTGTTGTGTTTGCTGTCTGTTTTATGCCTGAAAGTGGTCAACCTAACTATAGATACCTGATGGACAATCTCTTTAAGTAAGTAGATCATCACAATATTTGGAAAGAATTGAGTAAATCAGATCTCTAGTTTAAGAAAGTGAACTTTATTTAGCTAGGTAAAAATTGTAAATATCCTGGTTCTGGTTCCTTAAGTCTGTTATTTGGCATTATGAAACTATTCCAACTCAACAGAAGAATTGTTGTTTTAAAACTGGAAGGGATATTACAGATTATTTGTTCCAACTTCTGTATTTTACATTTGAGAACCCAATAAGTGCTTTATTGTGGGAAATTTCAAACATATGCAAGGGTAGGGAGAAGTATATATTAAATCTTTCTCTAACTATCACCCACTTCCACAATTATCAGTTTATACATTATTCCCATAAGTACTTCCCTCATGATATAATTTTGAAGCAAATCCCTCAAGTATTTATCATCTATAAGCGTTTCAATGTGTATTTCTGAAAGAAAGAAGTTTTTTTTTCTTTAGTAATAATATTAACTAATAGAGTTTTGAATTTTTGCTTTCAGTGAAGGAGAGGGAAGGGAATTGTGTTATTTGGATAAACCTGGTTTGGTTCTGCATAGTAGTGTTTAAGACTTTATTTTTATAGGTATGTTATTGGCACTTTGGAGCTATTAGTAGCGGAAAACTACATGATAGTATATTTAAATGGTGCAACAACTCGAAGAAAAATGCCCAGTCTGGGATGGCTCAGGAAATGCTATCAACAAATTGATAGAAGGTATTGTAAATACAAGTTAAAAGCTAGTCTGAATAAATTTTATAATGTCCTTAATTAGTTTAAAGTTTATTTTCTGTTACCACCTATAGGCACCATGTATCTACTTCATAAATTGCATTTACTAATTTCATAGCAAGTTTCTATTTTCAGACTTACAAAATTGCTCTTTATTTCTCTTTTGTACCACATCAGACATTTTCCTATAATTTATATTTTGGGAAAGGATGGGGAATTCAGTACATTTCCTGTTTTATTGCATTCTGGCTTTTGCTTCATTTATAGTGCTTAGTTGAAGAAGGAAATGGCAACCCACTCCAGTTTCTCATCTGGAAAATTCCAATGGACAGAGGAGACTGGTGGGCTACAGTCCATGGGGTCATAAAGAATCGGCCATGACTGAGCACTTAGTGCTTACTATATTTTGTTATTTATGATGCTTATTTATGTGTAATCTTTCTTTGGAGTGAGCTCTAGAATTGTATTCCTCTGAGAGTCATCCATGCTAATAGAAGGTATTTTGATCCTCTCTTTGGTTTGATTTGACCACAGCTAATTCAGAATAGTTTAATCAACTGAGGTCTATGAATAGGTTTCTCTTCATACATGAACATGACATTGGCTGGTTCATGTAATTTTTTAATGTTTAGTGATTATGATAAGTGTGAACTGTAACAATAAAACAGCAGTTTTTATTTCATCATTTTAAGTTGTCTAGGATAATGCATTTAACTTTTTTTTTCATTTATTTTTATTAGTTGGAGGCTAATTACTTTACAATATTGTACTGTTTTTTGCCATACATTGACATGAATCAGCCATGGATCCACATGTGTTCCCCATCCNAATCAGAATTTTAGACTTGGTGTTGGTGGTGGTGGTTTAGTCGCTAAGTCGTGTCAGATTCCTACGACCCCATGGGCTGTAGCCCACCAGGCTCCTCTGTCCATGAGATTCTCCAGGCAAGAATACTGGGGTGGGTTGCCATTTCCTTCTCCATTTAGACTCCATAAGAATACATTAGATCTGATTCATGTTGCCTGTTCCCTAGGTGATTTCCCCTCTCATCTTTCTGCCTGCCCTGTGCCTTTCATGTTGTTGAAGAAATCAGTAAGAGTTTTCCCTCCATTCCTGAGAAATGAAAAGAGCTTACTTTTATATTCATCATTGACCTCTACCTCTGACTGACAGAGTCCTGAAGACAAGTTGTATACTAGGAGACATTTAATAATAGGCTACACTGTAAAAATAAATATGAATGAAGTAGAATTAATTTCATGGCAGTGGGAAGGACCATTTCAATTTAGGAGTGCTTTTTGTTTGTTTTGTTTATCTTTTGTTGTCTTTAGTAATACATCTAAATGACAGCTTTTGTATAGACTTGCACAAACTTATTGATGACTTAGCTTTTCTTCTAGCATTAGAATTTGTAGAGCTTTTTCAATTTTCTTTCTTTTTTTTTTTTAACTCCAGGTTACGGAAAAACCTAAAATCTCTAATCATTGTACATCCCTCTTGGTTTATAAGAACACTTCTGGCTATTACAAGACCATTTATTAGGTAATTTTCTGAGAGCCGTTAACTCAAAAAAAACCCTACAAACTCTTTGTATGAATGTTTTGTCAATTCTATTGGTCAGAAATATTAAGGTATTTATCTTTATTTTTTTCCATAGCTCAAAATTCAGCCAAAAAATTAGATACGTCTTTAATTTGGCAGAACTAGCAGAGCTTGTCCCCATGGAATATGTTGGAATACCAGAATGCATAAAACAGTATGTTGTGTTTTATTTATTTCATTGTATTTGGATCTTTATATTTTTATATACAAGGTAAATATTTTGGTACCTATTCTTTCTCCCTTCATATATTATAAATATTTTGTAACTGCTCTTTTTTTTATAACAAAGAAAAGGGGGAAGAAGACACTTTTGAACACCTTCCTTTTAAGTCACCATTTTCTTTGGGCTATCAGTTGAAGTAGGAGAAATTGTTTCTGGTTTGGTTCATTTATATTTTTAAATACTAGTGACAGTCTAAGAGATGATTCTTGATTGGTCAATACTAAAGCACATTCTCCACACCTGAACATGCTGCTCTTCAAATTTAAGTAAGCTCATTATGGCATCGAATAATCATATTACTAGGGAAATAAAATATATTTATATCAGCCTAACCTTGATACTTTTCAGTGGCTGTAATTTGTTCTATTTACCAAATTTACTTATCTAACTTCTAGAAGGACTTAGCAGAAGGCTGTTAACATAAATACTTGAGTATCACAGTGCTATAATATAGAAAAATATTTCTTTGTTCTAATAACCTGAGGTTTTAGTTTGTTGAATATATCAACGCCACATTTCTTACGTCAGTTCTGACTTTATTCTATATAGTGTATTAAATATTTTTGAGTTTACCTACAAACTTGAGTTTGTTGTTAGAGCTTTTTTTTTTAGTTTTTGTTCATCTTCGTAACATATATATTTACTAAAATAACTCTTCCCTACCAAGGTATGAAGAAGAAAAGTTAAAAAAGAAAAAGAAAAGGTATATGCACACCTTGACTGGGTTGCATCTAGACTAGTCCATTTGCATTGCACAGACTAACTCTTCCTTATTGGTTGGTTAGCTTGTAGACAAAGATAACAGCATTTGTAAATATAAATATACTCCAGGATCCAAATATGGAGCCAATCCAAAGTTCCTGCTGCTGAGTGTGGCTTGAATTCTCTCTACGTAGAAAATAAAGACCGGTTAGAAAATAAAGGCCACTTAATAATGCCAGTTAGAAAATAAAGACCACATCTCCTTCCTCCTTTTGGTATAAATAACAGATGGTAAATTCCTAAGAATGCTCTTTGATAAACCAATTACTTATAACACCATACCAGTTTGTGCTTTTGAAATATTTATGTGCTTTAAAAAAAAAAAAAAAAGAAATATTTATGTGCTTTTTTAATATATCAGATTTCCCCCCTGGGGTTGATAATTATATTTACAATGCAGATATTCTTTGGCTAACCAACATTGATTTCCTTGTATGCTTAAACAATGGCCTGCTAACTAGTCAAATTCTCCATGTGATAAAATACCTAAAAGTTCAATGTACCATTTGATAGTTAAACACTCTGCTTTCCATCTTTAATTTAATTTTGAATACTTCTGCTTTGAGCATAACAAACTGTCATCTGTTAATATGTTAGCATAGAAGATGAAAGGCGAGGGTATAAATCAGTACTATTTTATATAGTAATTTAGAAAAGTACAGGATTTAGATCTGACTTTTAATGGATTTTTAAAATTGTGACAATTAAATCAGCAAAACAGATTAATACAATCTTTCATAAGAGTTAAGGCGAGAGATTTATTTATTATTTGGACCACTGTGAGGAATTAAAGCTGGAATATTCTTAACTTCATATTTAACTTCAAACACATTTTGGCCCTGTTGGTGAGCAAGAATTCAGTTGACCACGTGATCAAATCATAGCTTTATATTTCTGTATGACACTTTACAGCTAAACATTTTAAGATAGAGATAAGAACAATGATTTTAGATCTTGCTCATTTCTCACTCCTCTCAAGGCATTGGTGTGCACTTGCCAGACAACTGACTGAAATGTAGTCTATAATTATAGAATATTTTGAAGCCAGCTGCTTTGTAGATTTCAAAATGAATTGCCTTTGTGGATGAAATCTGCTGTGTTGTATCTTTTTACAAAATTCTTAGTTAAATAACTTGGGCACCAGAAAAAAAGTGGAATTGTACTTTTTATTTAAGTGTATTGTTTGAAACTTACAAATATTATTTTTATCTTGAATTTTTTTAAAAACTTTTGTTTTATCTAACCTTAAATAGAATCATTACATATATCTTTCAGGCACTTCTTAGTTTTTGTACAAATTTTCTTTAGCCTTCAAAAATAATCCTTGTCAGCTTGAAAATGGCAACATTCAAGTTTAAAAATAGAAGGGCATGTTTTTAATATCAAATTAACAGAAGCTACCTGTGGGGAACTTACTCAAGGTAAAACCTCTATAATGAGTACTGGTGATAAGAAGATTCAAAGCTGAGTGTGCTTAAATGTAGCAGTTTTAGATGTTGGTTTCAAACAACTCAGTGTAAGTGTAGCCAGATAGATGTTGACTATTAAAATGTTTGAAAAGAGTTTTTAAAATAAAGCAATTATGAAATTAGTTCATACTGATATTTCATATGTTGAAAAGATTGATGTATATATTGCATGCCTTATCAAGAATATGTACCTTTCAAACTTTTGATACCAGTATAACTAATATTTTTAAATGTTGCTAATTTGGCTTTACCACAGGCCAAGGCTTTGATCATAGTAATGGAAACAAGTGTGAAAAGTATCTTCATATATCATACCAAGATGTTTTAAACTCCACTCCATCAGTGATTCAAAGTACTACAAATAAAAATAAACAAATATAATAATTATAAATTGCTGTACATTATCTGTGAAGGGTTGTCTGTTTCTTCTGCTTAATTACATAATTCTCCTAATTTTTAATCTACATCTAGATATTCCTGATTATTAAACTCTGTGACTTCTTACTATCAAGATAAATGAAAAGCATTCAAATTCTTAGTGTACCAGTAAAATTCTGAAGAATAATTACGGCATCCATAAAGATGTACTTTCATCACTGAACTTAAAAATACAAATTGATCAGTTGGTGACAGTTGTGGCATTTAAATATATCAGTTAACAAAATAGTTTTTGACAAGTTATTTTTCCTGCCACTCAGATCACTTAGCTGTCTGCCCCAGCCATGTTACAGTTCAGCATCTTCATATGCCTGTTGTAATTTGAACTTCTAATAAAATTTATGTGTATTTGTATATGAAGTATCTTATACTCTTTAGAAAAAAAAACAGCAGCAGCAGTCACATTCTTGCCAGTGTCCTCTTGCCTTTAAAAGTTATCTTTTCCTGGTTGGGAGAATGTTTGGTAACCTTTTTACTATGTCTGCTTCTTTGCAAAGCTTTGTTTTTAACAGAATAATAATCTATGGTAAAATTAGTCATTATTTTTAAAAAGAAAATTGATCATTTGCTGCTAACTTATTATCTGTATTATTTTTCATTAAACAGAGTTGATCAAGAGCTTAATGGAAAACAAGATGAACCGAAAAATGAACAGTAAGTTTGGCATCTAGTCCAAACACAACTGAAGAATGTGCTGATGAAGCAGTGGTTTTTGCATTTATAATGCATTTATTGTTCCTGATTTTTATGTAACCTGTTACAAAATTGACTTGACTTTTTCTTAATGGACTTTTGTATAAGGGACTGTTCACTGCTGTATTGGTTTGCAGATCTCTTGAATTTAGTTCTTTACTAGCTAATTATATTGTAATCATTTTATATTTTATATTACTAAATAGCAGAGAACCACACTTTATATAAAGCAGTTTTTGCATTTGTTTGTTAAATGATGCATTTTCTTCAGTAAAATATTTATATGCCTAAATGGAAAAAGGAAAGAGATAATATATATTTTTATGTTTTTGAGCAATATTTTTTAATGTATACCTTTCTTGTGGACAAATATGCAGGTAAATAAGACCATGATTTTTTAAAGTGCATGTTAGAAGTTTTGTTTTTGTAAATGGTTAAATATACTTCCTGGGTCACTTAGAAAATATGCTCATAAAGTGAGGGACAGTTAAACTGGTTCTCATGAATACTCAAAGGTCATGTACATAATCTAAGTAGATTAGTACTATTCTGAACATTTTTCTCACTTAACATTTATTGTTTCTTAATTCAGACACAAATACAAGTATATTGCACACTTTTTTTTTAAAGACAAATCAAAAAGCCATTTCTAGAATTAGAGACTTTAAAGAGGTTAAGAACTGGGGTTTGTGTATATATGTGTATATTTTGGACATTATATCTTCTGGCCAAAAGTCAAAACTTCATAAAAATGTTAGGTTTGTTCACTAATGTGAAATAAGCTGTGTGTCCAGGATATCACTCTTATGAATTTGTGTGAGTGCAGTGTAATATTTAGAGAATGTGACGAGTTACTCACTGTCACTTCTTCTCTTTAGAAAACAGGGCTGCTTTTTTTAACTGCTTTCAATGTGGGCACTTTACCAAAATACTTTCCTATCAGGTGTTTGACCTAGTTAGATGTGGTGTATTTTCACATTTTCTGTTAAATTGTGTTGACAGTACTGTAAACTAAGTTATTTTGTAAGTCTTAGAGCATCGTCATACTGTGGTGTTGTGGATGACGCATTTGGTGTAAGCATATAAACTCCTTGTTTAATTTGGTAAGTACCTTGACTCGACATTGAAATTGTACTTATGCCCCCAGGTAGAACTTAATTACCCACAAAATCATCCAAAAGCAACAAATTGGTCTAACATACTTGTGGGACTCATATATTTGGTGAACTCAGCACTTTCCTAATTTAAGGGTCATACCATGCTCCAGCCCTTCACATAAGGTAATTTATGTGAAGAGAGTAATGAAATTGAGATGAAAGCTCAATGAAAAGTAATGAAAATTACTTTTGAAAAGTAATGACATTGAGAGCTAAACCTTCAAGATTTATTCTATCCTAGATTGGGTTTTATCATTACTGTTTTCAGTATAAACTTTTCTATTACAGAAGAGAATCTTCTTTACTCTTTGTCCTCCCCACTCATAAACTTGACACGCTAACGCAAGTCCTGTTTTGGGAGAGGCTAGAGGATCCCCAGGATGAGACTCTTCCCTCAGCAGCCTTCTGACTTGACTTGGATCCAGCAACTGTAGGCAGATCCTGAACTATTGTCATTACAGTGACTAAAACCAAAACCGTATTGCTTGCTCAGATCTTCGAAATACTTTGTGTTGCCAATGCAAACAATTTAGGCATTCCTTCTGAATTTATTATGAGACTTATGAATAAAGGATCATACTGAATTTATTTTTGATTAGAGTGTATATTTGTAGAGTGCTTTAAGTGATTATTTTTTTCATCTGAAAAGTAGTCTCAAACTGGGCTGAGCTTTTTAATATGTGACTTTCCTCCCCACTTAGTACCCAATTCTTCAGTTTCAACATGTTACTGTTTATTGACTTTTGCTTTCACAAGCATTGTTCCTGACTATAGATACAACTTGTTGCAAAAGTGGTGCATATTCCTACTTTTTTTTTTTGAAGTAGAGGTAGCCTACATTCTATTAGAACATTAAAATTCAGAGGGAATGTGATACAAGCACAGGGGTGTGCTATCAATCATTAGATTTAAAAGAATGCCTGTTCTAACCTATACCTTAATGGAATCTGGTCCAGGGACATGCCCCATAATGTTTCATAACTATGAGACTGAAGATCATAAGAAAGGCTAGAGGAAAAGTATTTATTAAATTTGTTATTTATAAATTGTAATGTGATTATATGACATTAGTAGTTATGTGACATTTTCCCTGTATCATTCAATTTTAATTTTCCATTACTAAGGTAAATAGATATAATTGTGTTTTATCTTTCTGCTGGGATCATGGATTTAACTTGTTTAATTTGATGCTTCTGTCACTATTTTTTGTTGTGTTTGAGTTCAGAGTGTCTTTTTTTTGTCAAAAGTTTCTCATAAAGTAATTTGTGTTTCTTCTTGGACATACTCCTTATTAGCACCAAGGGTAGTCAATATATTGATCCCACAATTTAAGCTTACTAGTCTTTTTAACTGGGGGTGGGAGAATATGTAAAGAAACATGATTCTAAGTAGGGCCTAGGGATAAAGTTAGTTGTTATCTAAGATTCCACTGAATGTGTCCTTGTTAAGGGAAGTACTATATATGGCAGCTGTTGGTACCGTTTTTTGTATCAAGCAGGAATTTACAGAATATTGCAGGCTGCATACAGACTACATGAATAAGGAGTCTATGGAGTGAAGGGTGTGAAGGCTGGTAATACCTCCAATGAGAATGCATATTTCCTTCTGCTTTCTTTGTCTTTTCACACAGAAGCAAGTTTAAATAGGGAATGTTGGCAATTACAATGCTCAGATTAAAATGTAGGGTTTGGGAGAGGTTACTTTTGACATTTCATGGCTGGTAAACATTTAATGTATTGTTCCAAAATGGACATCATTATTTAGTAATTATACTGAATATTGAAATTTGTTGATTGATAGGTTTATATAGGTAGCTAGACTGTCTTTCAGCTTCAATTACAGAACTTAAAAAGGTAAGGAATCCACTTTTTTAATAGAGCCTTCTTGTAAATGACTCTGTTACTCTGGCTGTTGTCATGTGAGTGCTCAGGGAATTTGAAAGTGTTTGAATTAATACAGAAGTGGCTTTTTAGATTTCTTCAGTTGACAGATAAATTAGCATTAGGATTATCAAGTAGAACAGTCCAGCTTCCTAATGAGATTGGAAAGGTGGTATATAAGGTGACCGTAGTTTCATCCTTTGCCCCATGTTATATGTGGAGAACTGCTAACATTGGTCAATCAGGAGGAGGAG